GTAGGATATCTATCTATCTATCTATCTATCTATCTATCTATCTATCTATCTATCTATCTATCTATCTATCTATCTATCTATCTATCTATCTATCTATCTATCTATCTATCTATCTATCTATCTATCTATCTATCTATCTATCTATCTATCTATCTATCTATCTATCTATCTATCTATCTGTCTATCTATCTATCTATCTATCTATCTATCTATCTGTCTATCTATCTCAGAGTTTAATGGGTATATATATATATATCGATTTTAAGCGTTAAAATATAAACACATAGAAGAAGGTGCGTTTCACATCAATCAAATATATTTACGTTTGGTGCAAAGGTGTGCAATCAAACTGGGTTTTTTCATGTTCGTTCCTTTTGGGGGGGATGGGGGCGGGGAATCTTAGTAGACTTAGTCCTTGTGTGTATTTTACCACCAGTAGGAGGTGGAAACAGAGATAGGGAGGGAGGGAGGGAGGCAGGTAGAACGATTCATTTTTCTCCATCGAATACAAATGAGATGAACTTGTAAATTTCTATATGGAAAAAAAAACAACAACAAAACAAACATGAAACAACCAATCATATCTAATTCCAGCTTGAGAGAAACCAAATATGAAGAAATCCACCCATACACATACAAATATACACAAAGCACCACTTTTTCTTTTAACAAATTTTATGTTGATTTTTTTGTGACGTTTGTTGTTACTCAAAATGTGGGAATAATATTCAAGTGTCGATTTGTAGGGATTTGATTGATTGGTTTCAGGATTTCATCATGAGCTGAGATTAGTTAGAGAACTATTGGAAAACCAACTGGCAGTACTGGACAGCTGTTTCGTCCTAGTTTGGGACTCTTTACCAGTACGCACCCACCCCAACTGGGTTCGAACCCCGGGACCTTCTGGTTACAAGGCGAGCTCGGAGACCATTAAGCCACTGGGACTTGACCCAATGGCCAGTGCATGAATTCTAACTTCTGCGAATTCACGACATAGCGCGACCCGTAGCCAATGTCTTCGGCGAGTATTTGTCCTCACACAGCAGCAGGTCGGGTGTGGGAATAATACTTCCAGAAATCCTATAATATTCGTAAGCCTCTATTGACCATCCTGATGATACTTTTGAGTTGGAAATATTCTCGACCACTGATCGTTTCAGTGGAAACTCTGTTTAAACAAAAAGTGACCAGTAATGTAAAGTGGCCAGTCATTGTGTCCACTAGTATCCTACAGGAATCATTCACGCGATGCGAACAGCTCAATGGTATTGTTGTTGGCTGTGTTGCTGAGTGATGTGGTTTCAGATATCAGAGGGGAGATCAATTTCTTCGAGACTGCAAATACATATCAATGATGAGTGTGCTAATAAGCACGAAATCTAGGTCTACAGCTTCCTGACGACTGCTTCGAATGGTTGAACATCAAGTGGAAGTTTCAGACCATCTAGATTGGTGACTACATTACAATCTCGATTGATAGAATTTCATCAGTAGCACAACAAAGATAAAGATAAACGCCATAGCAAGGCGCGCTGTTTGAAAAACGGAGTGCTTTTTTCACGTATTTGACAAATCGCTGTTTTTGTTGTGTTATTCACTTCAAGAACATTTTTTAAAACTTTAACTTGACTTTTGTCTGTTGAGGTTTGATTTTAACCACTCATATAGTCTATATTGGGTAAATTGTCTTGGTTGTTTCCAGTAGAAGTTCATTATGTCAAAAGTACCACATAAATGTAATAGGGCAGAGTGTTACTTTTTGGTAGATGATGGAATACAGTGTAATAACTGTAAAAAGTGGTATCATAAGATGTGTACTGGATTACGTCCAGCTGCATACAAACTTCGTAGTGCTGCAACATCCCACTGGATGTGCAGAATGTGTTGCTCCCCAAAGATGACTTTAATAAGGGAGGCTCACGAACTACTGTCTAAAGCCATGGAACCTCCTGATGATAGCGTGGCTAGTAAGAGTGACACAGACTGCCCGTCTGAATATGACGCAGTAAGTGCCATCATGAATGTTACCACACCGGCTGTCACTATCCCAGTTACCCCGGAAGTAAAACCTACTAGGCGTTCAAAGCGTCTTAGTAAGCGAAAAGGTAACAGAACGGAAGCTGCAAACAGCATTTCAGCACCAGAGAACACTGTAAGCGAAGATCACCATGAAGGTGGTGCAGACACGGATCTTGATTGTACCATCAAAAACTGCATCAGCGCTGAGAAGCAACTGCAGGCAGATGATCAGTGGGTAACGAAAATAAGCAATCGGAAGAAACATATTGATGGTAGGCAAACGTCTGTCACCTGTAGCCAGGCTGCATCAATAGTGGTGAGAAAAGACGTAGCCACTGCTAAACGCGACAAGCACTCCTTAGACTCTAACATAATTATTGGAAATTTAGAAGAGTCCAAAGAATCTGATCCCGTAAAAAGGCACGATCACGACCTTAAATTAGTGAGTAGTATTAAAAGGAAGATGCTCCCAGCGAATTTCCCTGGAGTATCGATTAAAAAGCTGATTAGAATAGGCAAAAGAGATGATGAATGTTCTAATCAGCCTAGGTTGCTTAAAGTAGTCTTAGGTTCTCCTGATGAACGGAATCATCTACTGGCTAGTCAGGTTTTGTACGAATTTCTTCTTGTGTTCTACTCGGAACTCAAGGAAAACATAATTGTGATTAATGAAGGGAGAAAATTTGTAGCTCCTAGTTAAGGTCATCTTCGGGGTGCGTAAATTCCAAATTAATCTAC